GGAAGCTCCTTATTACATTAGCATTTTCCAAATTGTACATAGACCACATCCAAAACGTAATTTTAACTTGGTTTGGCAAAATTGAGGACACATTTTCCTACAGAAGCATATGAATAGTAAGGATCTCAAGTCAGGAGACAAAAGTTTCAAGTACTTAATTCATGATGTATAACAACCCCTCCCCTACCCGGAGGTTAAATTTTTTTCCCATGATTTTATTTATTTATTCATGAAAGACACACAGAGAGAGGCAGAGACATAGGCAGAGGAAGAAGCAGGCTCTGGCGGGAATGCAGAACTCGATCCCAGGACCCTGGGATCACGACCTGACCTGACGCTCAACTCTGAACCGCCCAGGTGTCCCAAGGTTAAATTTTTGAAAAAACACTGTGGTAAGAGAATTCTCAGTGAAAGAATCAATGGCCATCGAGTCACAAATGAACAGAGGCACTTGTAAATATTTTTTACATTTGTTAAACTAAAAAAATCAATAATGATGAAATAGCAGTAGCACTCTATCTTATAGTGTAGTAATGAATAATAATACAAATATTCTATTTGGCTATATTACATAATATTGGATAATTAAAATGCTTAATATATAAAATTCAAACACATAAAGTACAAAAAAGCAAAAATAAGTCCAATCTCACCATCTAGAAATAACTATGAACATTTGGATGAACATCACTCTAGATACCTCTTTGTGCATATATACAAATAAGGAAACAAAGATACTTGCTTTTACACAAATGGGGATACACTGTTCTATACCCTGACTTTTTTCCCTCAATATGTGTCAATGACTAGAGTCTACAGTACATCGACATCATCTATTTTTTAAAGATTTATTTATTTATTAAAGAGCAAGAGAGCACTAGCAGGAGGGACAGAGAGGGGAAGAATCTCAAGCAGACTCTGCGCTGAGCACGGAGCCCTACACAGGGCTCAATCCCATGACCCTGAGATCACAACCTGAGCTGAAACCAAGAGCCAGATGCTTAATGGACTGCACCACCCAGGTGCCCCTCGACATCATTTTTTCTAATGGCTGCATAGCACTCCAGTGCATGGATGAAGCACAATTTACATAGCCAATGTCTCTTACCAATGGACATTTCAGTTTCTGTCCAATATAACCAACCTACAATCTTATTCAAACACCTTTGGTACTCATCCTATTGTTCTCTTAGGATAAATTCCCAAAAGCAGAATTGCTAAGTAAAAAGCACGTATATCTTACATCTTGACAGACATTGCCACACAGCTCTCTGGAAAGGCCAGACTATTTCACACACCCACGAGCTGCGCCTTTCTTAGAATTTCTGCCAGACTTGCCAACAGTCAGCCTCCTCTCTTCTCGCAGCTCCAACTCCTTCCACATAGCTTGTGGAAGTACAGCGGGATAGTGCTCAGGTGCTGGGTTTACTTCCATTCAGCTTCCTTCACCTCTCCCATGGCCACACTGCTTAAACTTCAAGCCCTTCTTTTTCGGATTTCTTCCCATCCCCCATTTCAACCTCTCTTTTTTCTAATTATAAGTCTGATTCATAATTAAAATAACTTGGAGTGAAATTCTCATAGTTGCCAAAAAAAGATACACAGAAGTAAAACTGCCTTAAATTATTCTTGGAGAGAGATGGAATATAAAAAAGAAAGTGAAAAAGAGAGAAAGGAATGAAGGGAAGGAAGGAACGAATGAAGGTGAGGGGAGGGAGGGAGGAAGGAAAAAAAATTCACTGCCTAGGCCTGATATGTGAAAACTGACATTTTGAGATAATTATTCTTTAGGCCTACTATACAACTTCTGTGCACAAATATTTCTACAGGAAGCTGCAATTGGAAAGGGTTTTCACTCAGTTATGAAACTAAGTCCTCAACACGTGCAGACACTGTGCTCCAGGCTTTGGGGAGACAGATGAAGAAGGTCAGACATGCCTGTAAGAAGCTCCCATTCTAGCGGGGAGACAGAGGTACACTAATATTTTTTATATACCTGAGAGTAACATAACACTGCATGTTAATCATACTTGAATTAAAAATAAGTAAGTAAAGGGGATCCCTGGGTGGCTCAGCTGTTTGGCACCTGCCTTGGGCCCAGGGCATGATCCTGGAGTCCCAGGATCGAGTTCCACATCGGGCTCCCTGCATGGAGCCTGCTTCTCCCTCTGTCTGTGTCTCTGCCTCTCTCTCTCTCAGTCTTTGTCTCTCATGAATAAATAAATAAAATCTTAAAAAAAAAAGTAAGTAAATAGCTTGGGGGATTTATGGACTCACTGGACAGAAAAATTAAAAGAAATGGTGAAGACCAGGAGAACTCAAATGCTTTCACTTAGATACTGACTGGATGGTAATATAATTGATGAAGGTAAAGTCTATAGGCCAGAAGACGATGTGGAGAAAAATATTCATTTCCATGTTGGACCTGCTGAGTTCAAGGGGCCTCTGACATCTAGGAAAAGATACCTAATGGAGAGCTGGCATTGAGGCCTGGTACCCAGTACCAGCAGATACTTTGTTCATTTTTTTAAAATCATCTAGATTTGACAGTCATTGAGGTAGATAAATTTGATTTGTGACAACAAAGAGAGAAAGCAAGGGATGAGAGTTTAGGACAGAATGTTAGGGGAACAATAATATTTGGAAACCTAACAGTAAAGCCTAATGAAAGTCTGGGAAAATTAGAGAGATAGAAGACAAGAAGACATGAGGGATTGGCTCATAAAATCCAGAATGTAAAGGACAAAGTATGCCACACTTACTTGTCTTCCCCATTCCTTCCTATACAAAGAATCTTGTGGGGTGGCTTCAGGAGCTGGAACAAGGATTCCTGTTAAGTTGGGTTGGTAGTGGGGATCCCTGGGTGGCTCAGGGTTTAGCGTCTGCCTTCAGCCCAGGGCATGATCCTGGAGTCCCAGGATCGAGTCCCACATCGGGCTCCCTGCATGGAGCCTGCTTCTCCCTCTGCCTGTGTCTCTGCCTCTCTCTCTCATAAATATATAAATAAAATATTAAAAAAAAAAAGTTGGGTTGGTAGTGAGAGACTAAGCAAGAAAGACTTCCTGGGCCCTGGAAGTAGGCATTATGTGTCTTGATCTGGGATTTCCTGCTAGTGCTAATACCAGGGAATACTTTCACCCCTAAAAGACTCTTGTTACCTTATCTCTTGCTTCCAAGAGACTGATCTGTCCTTTCTCCTTTCCAATGTCACTACTCACAGTTTCTACCTATTCCTTAGCCCATGATGGGAGAGAACAAGTCTTCACAGCTTCTCAATTCAGTATGTTTAATAAGTGTAACTTTGAGCCAGTTACTTGCTTGTTAAACCAGACAGATAAGATACAGTTCCTGCTGAATAAGAATTAACAGTTAGGAGTGGGAACATTAAGAGAAGGTTTGTGGGACACCTGGGTGGCTCAGTGGTTTAGCACCTGCCTTTGGCCCAGGGCGTGGAGTCCCAGGATCGAGTTCCACGTCGGGCTCCCTGCATGGAGCCTGCTTTTCCCTCTGCCTGTGTCTCTGCCTCTGTGTGTGTGTGTGTGTGTGTGTGTCTCATGAATAAATAAATAAAATCTTTCTTTAAAAAAAAAGAGAAGGTTTGTAAGTACTGTATGTAGGGTATACAGTGACCAAAGCTACAGTAAGCTGGAGATTCATGAAAAAAACCTCATGCCCTTCTTAGGAGGTTAAAAAATATCTTCTTCCTATTTTCCAGGAAGGAAAAATTCATACAGATGCTGATGATAAACCCTGACACAGAAAGACTTATAGTGAATTGATTTACATCAATTTAAGTGTGTGAAAAAGAGGAAGAGAGAAGAGAGGAACCTTCAAGAATTTACTCTCCATTTTCCATTCTGGGGGAGCAGGTGGTAGGACAACCAGTCTGCAACTTAAAACTACGTATAGATAGTCCATAAGGGCAACCTTTCCTGGTCACTAAATCTCTTCCGGATGACACATTTTTCTCTCCCTTTCCCTTTTTTTTTTTTTATTTATTTACGATAGTCATACAGAGAGAGAGAGAGGCAGAGACACAGGCAGAGGGAGAAGCAGGCTCCATGCACTGGGAGCCCGACGTGGGATTCGATCCCGGGTCTCCAGGATCGCGCCCAGGGCCAAAGGCAGGCGCCAAACCGCTGCGCCACCCAGGGATCCCTCCCTTTTTTTTTTTAAATTTTTTAATTTATTTATGATAGTCACACAGAGAGAGAGAGAGGCAGAGAAACAGGCAGAGGGAGAAGCAGGCTCCATGCACCGGGAGCCCGATGTGGGACTCGATCCCAGGTCTCGAGGATCGCGCCCTGGGCCAAAGGCAGGCGCCAAACCGCTGCGCCACCCAGGGATCCCTTCTCTCCCTTTCCTAATCAGAAAACTCCTCTTTTGGTTGTTGTAGCACTGTGGGATATAGTGGAAAGGGTTATAGGAACCAATAACCCAATCTGGCTTCCCTACAGCAGTCCTTCCCAAGATGAAGACTGAATCAACATTTGTCAAAATCATAAGTGACCAAAAAAAAAAAATCAATGTTATTTTTGTAACCTGTGGGGATTATGTGTGTGTGTATGTACACAAAATACGCATGTGTGTTTTGGTTCCTCCTCCACTTTGACTATCTCCCCAGATCCTCTTCACCATTACCTGTACACAAAAAAGTCTAAATACCATTATTTCTTGCCAAAAGAGGAAACAGAAAAGTAACTTGATTAGTAAACAGAGCTTGGCCTGGAGCCCAGATCTTAAGAGATGTAAATTGGGGCTCTTTTCACAAGACTGCAGTCTCATGTTGACTTACACTCTAACATCCAACCAGTCCAAAATACTGCTTACATCACCTTCCTCTTACAATCTGTGCGGTCTTAATCATATTATTTCACCTCTCTGTCTCACTTTTCTGGTCTGCAAACAGGGAGTAATGCCTAACTCATTGGCTTTCTTTAATTTACTCTTCACAGTACAGTGCTCCTTTATTAATTTATAGTTTAAAAAATTTAACTCCAAAAAATATGGAATACTGTACGAATTTGCATATCATCCTTGCACAGGAGCCATGCTAACCTCTGTACAGTTCCAATTATAGTATAGGTGCTGCCCAAGGAAGCATTGACTCATTGGGTTTTTTAAAGGTAGCTAGCAAAATTAATTAATTAATTAATTAAAAATAAATAAAAAATAAAAGGTAGCTAGCATAGAAAAGGTACTGACAGTATCATGGGCTTAAAAAGCACTTCATAAACGGTAGCTGTTTACTATGAACTATTTACCCCACAGGACTGCTGTTCCTACATGCCTGATACCTAAGCAGTCCCCCAATGTGTATCTATCAGTCCCTCTTTCCCAACCCTTGAAACAACTTCCTAGTTCGTTCTAACCAAGATTCGGAAACTAGTTCAAATCCAAGAACGGTTTCCCTAATTTACCAGCACAAGTGTTTGCACATTTCCTAAAATCTCACCCCTCACGCAAGGGTGTAACACCTACAGAGAGCTACCCAGGCATGATTTCTCCCCTTCTCAAGTCACGGCAACAGAATAATCACATGTTGCAAGTTTCCCAAAAGACGAGTCGTCTCAAGCCGATCGATACAACCGACGCCAACTGCTTTCTCTGAGGCAACCCGGCATCCGGGCGCCTTTCAGAGTTACCGTCGGTTCGCCGCTCCGCAGCCAAAATAGTCAAGTTTGCTACACTAATCATACAACTGACCAGGGGTAAGAAAAACCTCAGGGCAGCCCGGGGCGGGGGGGCTCGGCGGTCGAGCGCCCGCCTTTAGCCCAGGGCGTGACCCCGGAGACCCGAAATCGAGTCCCACGTCGGGCTCCCTGCGTGGAGTCTGCGTCTCCCTCTGCCTGTGTCTCTGCCTCTCTCTCTCTCTCTATGTGTGTGTCTCTCATGCATAAACAAAATCTTAAAAAAAAAGAAAAACCTCAATGTCCCGTACATCGCAAGGAGTGACTGAGAACAGATGCCCCGCAGTGACGAGTGAATGACGAGTGAATAACGGGTCTCTTCCTGCGGCGTGTCTAGGTGTCAGCCTGTGGGTCTGCACGTGTCGGTGGAACTGAAAGTACATTCGTGTGTGCGCCGAAGTGTTTGAGCGCGGGTGTGCAACCCTTCTGAACCCGGGCGCTCAGCGAGCGAGGGAGCCACGGTGCAAAGCCCCGCGGGAGCCGTTCTCCAGGCGCTTACCTCGGCGGACGAGCAGGTGGACGCCGCTGGGCGCCGCCATGTTGGCGCGGGTCACGTGGCCGCCGAGCCCTCCCGCCCCGCCCCGCTCCGCCCCGCCCCGCCCGCTGGAACTGTCCAGTCGCAGCCCTGCGGGAACCTGGAGGCGCCGGGGCCGCCCCGGGGGAGCGCGCGTGCGCGCGGGGGGCTGACTGCGGGAGCCCCGGCAGCGAAGCGGCTCCGGCGCCGGGGGCCAGCAGGGGAAGCGCGGCCCGCCGAGCCCGCTCCGGCCGCGAGAGGCGGGCTCCGGCCACCGTTCGCGCGCTCGCCCAGAGCCCCCGCTCCCAGGTGGGATGGAAGAAGCCTGTCAGGTAAGCGTGGCGTCTCATATTTGTAGCATCAACATTCTGGTGCATGGAAACGTGAAGTTGGGAGGAAAAAATTAAAAATAAATAAATAAATAAATAAATAAAGCACAATCTAGCACTTTGCGTCGTCGGCCACTCTGTTGCCATTTCCCTGGATTGAGTTGAAAGGTAAAATTCGGTTCAAAGTCATCAGCTGCCCCTTTGCTGTCCCAGAAATTACATTACTCAGCAGAGACTCCAGGAATCTGTGTACAGCTGCAAAATCCATTGAGGATACACCCCCCACCCCGGGGTTCTGTTGGGGGGGGGCGGCTTGTCTTTCCCCCAAGGACACTTCCCGCTCAGCGGGGTGAACTGGAGTCTTAATCCTAAATTCGACTTTTAAGAATGAAAGGGTGACGTCGGCCGGTGGCGCTGCCGAGGGATGAAGCCCAGGGAAGGCCAGTTAGGAGCCGGTGAGGGTGCTGTTGTGTTCCAAGTGATGACGGTGCCCATTCTTAACCAAATTCACTTTTCCTCTTAGCTGCCTTTTGGAGCAGGTTTCCATCCCGAAATAGAGCAGGTGTTACTGATCTCGGTAGCCTGGTGCCAAAGAACCTGGTATTTTAGGAATGTCTGGTGAAGGAATTGAACTCTCCATGGAACCCGGTCAAAGCAAGAATTTAACGGTTTCCCAGACTTTTAATGCAGTAAAGATTGATAAGGATTCTTGGTGGATGTGGGCGTTTCCTAATTAATTTGTAAGCATTTAAGAACACACGTGGTGAAACATCCAGACAGTTCAGAAGTGAATAAAGGGAAGAGCCCAAATCCCCTTCCTAACCTTCTCTGCACACCGTAATCCCACTCTTCAGTCAACCACTGCGTGCATCACTCCATGCCTTTTACAGGCAAATATGCGGAAATATTTTAAGTGGACTCACATACTTACTGTTAGGACTCACTTTTTACACTCATTATAAACCTCAAATCTTAGTTCAAACTCATGCTTTTTAGTGACTACATAGTTTTGGTATTTTTACTTTCAAATAATGAATTGTGGCAGTTCATTAGAGGACACATGCTATACTTCTTGGAGGCCCAGTTTTGGATGCTTTTGGGTCACCTTGAAAAATAAAGAGAAATACTGTTTTCCACTGAGATAAGGAAGATGTGCAAGGATGAGAATGAAGAGTACTCCCACAGGTTACTTCAAGCTCCACCTTTTTCAGACTCAGATCAGTTCCAGGGAGAGGGTTTTTGAATTTGGTAAATCTGTTCTGTTCCCCTGCAACTAGAAGGAAAAGGAAACACTATGTGGACTCAGGTGGCACTGCCATAGTGGACTCCAGTGAGGAAATGCCCAGTAAGTTTGGCATAGAATGTGGTTATCTAGGGTAAGCTAGAAATGACAAAGATAAGAACTTGCACAGGTTATGTAGCTCATCCACCGACCTCTGATTTGGTTTATGTCGTACTATATCCCTCTGACATTAGAAGAATTAAAAGTTGACAGTATGTGTTCTCCAAAAAATCAATTTATGAGATAAATGCATACTGATCAACAAGATAAAAGGCTAGACCACCAACATCTGAGATCTCTTAAAATTCTAACATTTTCTGATCCTGAACAGTCAGGGCATTAGAATGCTTCTGTTTAGATGAGTAACCACTACTGACTGACTCACTTTTCTACTCCCATCTTCCCACCTGTGAAATAGAGGTTAATTATATATTGTGGTACTTTACTATTTTGAACTCCCACCAATGTTCAGATTTTGCACTTGGGATTCTTGAATAAAAAGTTTGAGTAGAAAAAAAAAAGTTTGAGTAGTTTTTCAAAACCAGGGTTCAAGAAATAAAGGATAAGTTCTTAATACCTTCAGTTTCTGTGTCCAAAAATTCACTCTTTAAGGTTAAATATTTTTATTAATTGTGATTAATTATTGTTTTATAGGTCTTTTACATCAGTTTTTACATTTTACCCAAGTTCATGTCCTATTTTTAAAAATCTTTTTATCTTCTTTTGTAAAAGAAATAGATCAGAAATAAATTCTGATATTCAGATTTTTGAAGTCAGTTTTTCCTTCTTCTACTTAACGATATTTTATTATAGATTTATACCATATAACTTTTTCAAAAGTTGCATATAGTTTGTAATAAAATTTAAATTATATTGGTTTCTGTAATGTATGTCTTGAATCCGTAATTCAAATTCACATTTTTTAAATGTTCTAGGGGATCATGCAACATGAAGTAAATCTCTTTAAAAATAAATTTTGCTTTGTAAACCATCATCCTGTAACTTGTTTTACGAGCTTAGATTTATAAATACTTATTAGGATTACCTATAATGCAAGATACTTAAAAATATAAACTATGCTAAGATGCTTACATATCTATAGAATATACAAACACATTGTAAAACTAACTGAAATAGTGCAGTATTTCCTAGTGGGCACAAAGCAGAGTCTATGGCCTGCCAAGGGAAACTGGTGCCCAATAGCCTGCACAGCTTCACCAGGACCATCTTCTAGCCTGTGACACATTCGTTTACCCTTCTTGACCTTCCTTCTCAATTTTGCCATATTAATCAGAAAAATTTGCCCTTTGATTTGAGATCAGGATCATTTCTTAGGGATCCCTGGGTGGCGCAGCAGTTTGGCGCCTGCCTTTGGCCCAGGGCACGATCCTGGAGACCCGGGATCGAATCCCACGTCTGGCTCCCGGTGCATAGAGCCTGCTTCTCCCTCTGCCTGTGTCTCTGCTTCCCTCTCTGCATCTCTCATGAATAAATAAATTTAAAATCTTTTTTTTTTTTTTAAAAAAGGATCATTTCTTAGCATTTTACTCCATGGCTTGAGAAGAGTATTTCTAGTCTTGCACTCTGACTTATCTGATTTTAGTATGAGAAAATACTTTTATTTATTCACATTTTTTTAAGTCAAATGAACATTCTTCCCAGGAATTAGGAGTCCTGCATAAGCATATCTGCACATACAACAGGGACCTGTCTCAGCAGCTCATGGGACCCCTGTGAAGTTACGGTCCAGCTTCAGATGATTATACATTCAAGCGGAAAATTTCTTTCTTTTCCTTTTTTTTTTAAAGGTTTTATTTATTTATTTGACAGAGAGATAGCAAGAGAGCACAAGCAGGGGGAGCAAACAGAGAGAGAGGGAGGAGAGTAGGGAGCCCGAGGCAGCTCCATCCCAGGACCCAGGACCCTGAGATGATGACCTGAGCTCAAGCCAGACTCTCAGTTGACTGAGCCACCGGGCACTCCCAGGTAGAAAATTTCTAAGGCACTCTTGCTGGCAGAAGGTCATTTCCTATCTCAACATTTGAGACAATGGATATGTTACTGAGTTATCTATGGGTATCCTTTGAGAAAATGTGCAGATGCTTTGAGGAAAAGTAATACCATATCTAAGGCAGTTGTGAGAAATCAAGAGGATTTCTCCTTGCTACTTGTGCCCTGTTTTTTTTTTTTTTTTGGTTTTTGTTTGTTTGTTTTTTTTTTTTATCTCTAGCAGTACCAACTAAGAAGGAACCAGGGAACAAGAGAGTGGGGCTTTAGTTGTATGTGACC